GACAGCCGACTCTTGCAAATGACATCACGGGGTCTTTAAAGTCCACTGACAAAGCAGACGGAACATCGTATTTTACTATTATATTGCCCGTGTAGCAATAACCGGGGCGGCCGCTAGAATTAAACTCGTGAGCCTCTGCAATAAGCGGTGAACGTGCTATCGCTGGGCGGTGTCAATGTATAGTTAGAATTTGCACAAATCTTTGCGTTATTTATGTTGACAATCTTGGTCACAATGTTCTGATATGCAAGAATTGTACACCCTAATCTTGATTTGAAGCTTTCGTGACTGCAGGAATCCATACTCTTTGGTTATTTCGGTAAAGTCACATAGGTAGAAAAATAAAATAAAATAAAAAATAATCTATGGTGTCAGGTACAAGTACCTTGGTGAACCAAGAGACTACATCGAAGCTGACAAGCAAATCATCTGAAGACAATGAAATGTCCTTGATTATAGAAACCAAGTGAGCCGTGTTAAGTACTGCTGAGGTGGTCTTGCCCGTGAATGGAAGCAGGGTCTCAGACAGAAATCGTACCAGTTTGTAGGTAGGCGAGTTGATGATGGAAACGATAGGACGGAGCGGGGTACCTTCTTTATAGATTTTTGGAAGGCCATAAAATCTGGGTGGTCTAGCAGCCAAAGGTTTAAGAGAAAGCTGCTTGGTCGGTTCGATTAGAAAAGTCGAATTAGTGATGCTATTGTTGATTTTTGTAGCCAGGCGGTTGGTAGGATCTTTGTTGATTTTGGTATAACTGCCATTATTAAGAAGGTCCTGGATTTTGTTGTTGTATGTGGTTTTATCCATGATGACCGTGGCATTGCCCTTGTCGGCTGAAAGGATGACAATGTCATCTCTCTTTTTCAATTGAGCGAGTTCAGAGCGCTCGTCTCTGCTGACGTTACTAATGGGTTTCTTAGCGTTTTTGAGGATGGCGACAATTTCAGATCTTGCCACGTCTGCTGGTGATGTGACCCAAGCCTTTGAGGGCTACGTCAACCTGGGCAATGATATCATCCACTGTGATGTGTTTGGGGGGTGACTGCAAAGTTCAGCCCTCTAGCTAGTACCGATTTTAGGCTATCGGAAACTGGGTTGTTACTCCGATTGACAATCTTGTCAACATCTAACTTTTTAATGTGTGGATCTGGCTTCTTTTTTGACATGATGTTGAATTTAGCAATCAGGTTAACTTTACATTTGGTTGACATTGTCGTGGCAGAAGAAACAGTCATGTTATCTACAAGGTCCCAATCAGATGTGGACATTGTATCTGTTAATGCTAAGTGTTATTGTAGGAGACATGTCTAAATTATCAAGTTCAAAGCAGAGCAGTAATTGTACACCCTGTATAACATGTTTGTATTTTTCACCCAAATCTGCCTTACAATACAGAGTTTACACGTTAATGGGTTTTGCCCGATCATAAATAAACAAATTATGCCAATAAATAAACATCGGCATGTAATAAGGCTAATTTTAATGTATATACGATTTAACTATGAACATAAACAGTCCAACAAGACAAAACTAAATAACATAATCAAAACCAAAACACGGGCCGGGCAGTAACACCATGTATAGCCTGCCATCCCATCTCATCCCCGACTTTCCCATCTCATCTAAGCCCAACCCAAACCACTGCGCCACCACTCTCTACAGGTGCGAAGTATAGTGCGAAAATAAGAGATTCTGCGAGTCTGGGACACGTGGTGAACCTTCGTTTAGAACCAGAATTTGCTGAGACGCACCATTCGCCCACACGCACGTACGCAACACTTAGCGAATGAAACAGCTTTGCGGCTTTAAAAAGGGCTGTGTGAATTCACGGCCCTTTGTAAAAGTCAGTGCTAAAAGATATCTTCCATGTCACTCAGTGTTAGGGTTTTGACCATACTTCACCAAACTGATCGAGGTCAGGGGCAGGTGGGGGGTGGGAGATCCAGGACCTTTTCATGTATGGCTTGTCACCGACGTCCACCGTGTCCGGGAATTAAACTCAGGTCCCATAACCACTGCTCTCCACTCCCTCACACATTTCACTGCTTTAAATAACTCGTACCACTCCAGACAGTGGAATGACCTTCGTCACACACCAGTGCTGGACCTTCATCTGTGAACAGGTAAGAGCCCATGAAGACCACGAGTCTATTTTTCAACGGAGAACCGATTCTCAACACACACACACAGCAAAGGCAGAAAATTCCAAAGTGTAAAAATTGGCCACCGTACGGGATGATAAAGCAGTCACTTTGTGGTCTCTAATCGTTACCTGCTGGCCGTGTTGAGACAGTGGCTTTCGAAAATAAGCCGCTCAGACCCTGTTCCGTATTTAGCACAGCGCTCCGCTCCTTGTATCCATGTAACACGACTCTTAAGGTCAACACCTGCCCATACCCAATCCCCGCCAGCGAGTACGATGCACAGTATTCGCTCAATAAAAACAGCAGAACGCGTTGGAAACGGCAGCGGTTCGACGTGGAACAACAAGGCAGCGACGCGGCTCTGTGGCGGCAACAGTTGATGGGGTCACGGCAAGAGACCGCTCCATCTTCTCGACCGCACACGGCTGCGGAGTGGGCAGTAGTAGAGCGACGAGGGTTGGTGGATGAACCTGTCCGTGCACACAGAGAGTGTAACACCCCCTCGGACGCGTGTTGGGTGTAGTGCTCCAGCTCCCACCCACACGACGAGCTAGCATGACGAGCTAGCATGACCAAACGGGTTACATAACCCGTTAATACACACCAGTTCATGCTTTCATGGACTCTGTCCAACCTCTCTCATCTCGCTGTACACCCATTCCGTGTCCTCCAAATCCAGCAACAAAGGCCTCTATCTAAACTTGGAGCCGTCTTCCACTCGATGGGAAGCCACTCCCGTCGCAGATTTACATCGCGGCGATGTGCATGTCTACCCCTGGCCACCTGTGATGCAACACTGCCGTACTTATCCTGACTCTTTGGTTCTTTCGGTAAAGTCACGTAGGTATAAAATAAAATAGATCACGACGTTTCGGGCGCAACACCTAATAACGGACGCTGGTGTTGCGCCCAAAACGTCGTGATCTATTTTATTTTATACCCACGTGACTTCACCGAAAGAACCGAAGAGTATGGATTCCTGCAGTCACGAAAGCTTCAAATCAAGATGACTTATCCTGTTCAAGGTGTCTACTCCGTCGCCTCTTCGTCTATAGAGTGCCTACAACATCACCGTGTATCCCTTCATGTTCCCCATCTGCCTTGTCGTCGCCTACGGTCCACTAACTCTGCATTGTCTTGAGAGCCAGATACCCCGGTGTATCCCACATAACACTGTTTGTGCAAGTGCTATTCAGCAAGCGCCTATGAAGCCCTTGCACAGCGTACGTATGTATGTGTCCTGTGGGCAACACCACGCCAGGCCGCATTGGTCTCTCCCCAGTGCTAACGTTTACACGCCGCATAAAAGTACTTATTTATCTATTCGAGGCCGAGTCGACCTAGGGGAGGCCCAACACCCGGTCACATAACCACCACTGATGTAAAGTCATGGCTGCGAATCGCCGAGTTCGTATCAGAGTGCGCTTACAAGAGCGCCACCGCTCCCGGACTCTGTAACATTACTCACGTGTTTACACCATTGGAACCTCCTTTGCCAGTAGCAAAATATGATAATTGGTTTTTTACCCTTTTATCTGGCAACAAAACTGACACCTTTTTTACAAGGTGTAAATGCTTACCCCGAGCTATCATACGCTGATGGTGCATTGTCTTTTGAGTTGTGCGCCTTTTGGCGTCATCTGGTCCAACACCATGTGAGACTAGGCTATAAGAAAAGGTGTCTCGGGTGTGGACCAATCAACTTCAATGACAGTGCATACATTATCAGAGTTATGTTTTTTGTTTGAGTTCTGACCGCAGGTATTGTGGTCAATGCAAACATGACTCCTTGTAATAAAAAGGTGTCAGTCTTGTTGCCAGATAAAAGGGTAAAAAAAACAATTATTATCAATTTCGAGTTAAAGCTTTCGTGACAGCAGGGATTCATCTTCTTGTTTCTTTCGGTAAAGTCACGTAGAAAGGAAGTAATAAAATAATAAAAATAAAACATAATAAAATAAAATAATTCTCACGACGTTTCGGCTACAACGCAAGCAGCCGTCTTCAGGTGCGTTGTAGCCGAAACGTCGTGAGAATAATTATATTTTATTATGTTTTATTTTTATTATTTTATTACTTCCCTTCTACGTGACTTTACCGAAAGAACCAAGAAGAATTATTATCAAGTGGACCGCCGAATCGTGGCTCACGGGCGAACACGGACGACTGAACTGGGGGTGTTAGAGGAGCAACAGCGATCACACGTGGATGAGAACACACGCGCGTTGACGAGGGAGATGGAACACAATCGGAAAGGTCACCGAGGAGCACGTGGAGACAGGGTGAAGATGAACCCACCGGCTCGCCCCCTTTGATGATCGATGGCGGCGAGTGGGCAGCGGACACGGACGTCGCGATCGGTGGTCGAGACTAACAACGGAGCGGCAGCCAACGGAGAGAAACGCGGAGCGATGAAACCGGCTCGTGTGGCCGTGCCAGATGCTCATCGCGAAACCCCGAGCGGTAGCGACAGTGTGTGGGAAAACTTTCATCCAGCAGTGGATAGGTCAAGGCTGCTGGTGCTGCTGTGTCGAGGCTAATGGGGCAGACGACGTTGTACGAACGTGCCAGAAAAAATAAACGACTACCGAATCGAACGGTGGCCACAATAACAGGCGACCATTCATAGAGCGCACATCCCCCGTTACTCCACAGGGGTCACCCCGCGCACCGGCCCCCGACCACGCCCGGGCAGGGGTCCCCAGGCCGAGCGCTGACGGGTAAGCCGCTATCCGAGCACCGGTGTCTGACTCGCCCGACTAGGCCTCGCCTCGGTGATTCCGCCTCGACGCGCCGCCCGGACTTTCCCTGGCTCCGAGGGGGGTCCTCTCGGTCCGGCCCGAGGCACCTCGTACCTGCTGATGCTGCTGTTGCTGCCCGACGTTCCAGGTTGGCATCCGTGAGCGGGAAGCAGCGTCCACGGCACGGAGCGGTGCCTTTAAGCGGGGCGCGCACAGGCACACACACGCGCGTGTGACGTCACGGGGGGCGGGGGGTGGGGGCGGAGGGGGGCGGGCGAGATAAATGTGAAGTCATGCTGGCATCATCATCAGCAGCAGCAACAGCATCATCATCAGCAGCAGCAGCATCAGCAGCAGCATCATAATCAGCAGCAGCAGCATTATCAGCAGCAACAGCATCAGCAGCAGCAGCATCATCATCATCAGCAGCATCATCATCATCAGCAGCAGCAGCATCATCATCATCAGCAGCAGCATCATCAGCAGCAGCAGCAGCATCATCAGCAGCATCATCTTCATCATCAGCAGCATCATCAGCAGCATCATCATCATCATCAGCAGCAGCATCATCATCAGCATCATCATCAGCAGCAGCATCATCAGCATCAGCAGCAGCATCATCAGCAGCAGCAGCATCATCATCAGCAGCAACATCATCAGCAGCAGCAGCAGCAGCAGCATCATCAGCATCATCAGCAGCAGCATCATCAGCAGCAGCATCAGCAGCAGCATCAGCCAGGGCCAATCCACTGCTGGATGGAGGCCTCGACGCTACCTCTGTCGCTCCTGAAACTTAAAACAACTCGCAAAGGCTACAGCTGTGCTTCATGTAGCCGTGAAGGGACATTGAGATTTGTTAGTGGGAGCCGCGTGCTTTATTTAATGGTGGGATAACAGTGAGATTTCCAAGAGGGTTTACTTTTGGGCAATCCGTAAAATAATTTCTCGAAACTTTTTCTCAAGCATTTTTGTTCTTGTTGGGTCTATGGCATCAAACGGCGAATACAATGGTGCCTGGCTGAACACAACACATCCAGAGTTTATTTAAAGAAATGAACATCATTACTCAAGCGAAATCTCAAACAGGTGGGGGGGGGGCAGTTAGAGCCTGTGCGAGATTGGATAGGCAGGCAGGCAGGGGAGTTGTGATTCTCCTTTATTTAACCGTGGGAAACCCACTGAGGCTGAGAACTACTGAGGCCTTCGTGACATGAAGACAGGGACCAAGAACACATTCCTGAGGAGGGAGCTGGTAGGAACGTTGGATTGCTCGGTCAATGGCCAGGGTCAACGGCGGCGTGGTGTATTCCGCAAATATGCCTGACTGTGAGGGCGGGCACAAGCCGGCGTGAGTAGGTTAAACGTTGAGTTTTATAAGGGCACCACGGGGTGACCAGCCCCTCCCCACCCAGCCCCACCGCTCCCACCCCCCACCCAGCCCCTCCCCACCCTCCCCACCCAGCCCCTCCTCACCCTCCCCACCCAGCCCCACCCTCCCCACCCAGCCCCTCCCCACCCTCCCCACCCAGCCCCTCCCCACCAGGCCCACCCTTTCCAGCCCCTCCCCACCCAGCCCCTCCCCACCCTCCTTACCCATCCCCCCCCAACCCAGCCCCTCCCTGCACGACGGACGGACACAACAATCCCCTGTGGGCTGGTGTAACCAGGGGGTTGCTACCAGTACGAGCTGGCTCTGACCCTGTAGCTACACGCCAGACTGACACAAGGGCAATGCTTCGTTCACACCTTGAAGTGACTCTCAAACATTGTGGTGTAGGAGCGTCACTGTGCCGTTGCCGTATGTTTGTTGAATTTCTTTCGCACCGTACGGTAGCCATCCGTGCTAATCGGAGGTGTCGGATCTTTGTAATGAATATAGGTTATACCCCCAATGTACGTCTCCCCATTTAACGTCGTTTCGCGAACACGTCGTCGTCAAATTTCGATTTAAAGCTTTCGTGACTGCAGGGATTCATCTTCTTGGTTGTTTCGGTAAAGTCACGTAGAAGGGAAGTAATAAAATAATTAAAATAAAACATAATAAAATAATTCTCACGACGTTTCGGCCACAACGCAAGCAGCCGTCCTCAGGTGAAAACCAGGTCTGTTGAGGCGACAGCGTCTGAATGAAACAGCACCAGGCTTGGAGCATATATTTAAGCTAGGTTGGAAGGGGGGGAAAGGGCGCCTTGACAAAAGAATTTGCATATCAAAAGGAATTCAGCATAATTATTTTATTATGTTTTATTTTTATTATTTTATTACTTCCCTTCTACGTGACTTTACCGAAAGAACCAAGAAGATGAATCCCTGCAGTCACGAAAGCTTTAAATCGAAACGTCGTCGTCACTTTATTGACACCGCTACCCGATGTGCATTGCCTCAACCCCGCACTCACGTCGCTGACGCCATCGTCCGTCCGTTACCCATCGCCTCCATCTACCCCAGGGGTCGGGAACCTTTTTGACTGGGAGAGCCATAAAAGCCAAATATTTCTAAATATATTTCATTGAGAGCCATATAGTATTTTTAACGTATAATAAATTAAATATGTCTTACTTTTAATGCGACGTCTGGTGCTGCATAGTTTTGCTGATGGCCTTGTAGTCTGGTGCATACGTGGTGAGGTTGAGCTTCATGCAGGCGTGACCCGTGACATTTATCTTCAAAACTAATTTCTGTTCACTTTAAAATGACACAGTATTATTAAGTAATATCACAAGTATTTTAAAATCAGTTCCAAACAGATTTTTTTTAAATTATTTTTTCAACTCAAAATTGTCTGGAAGCCATATGCCGTCACTGGAAGAGCCATATATGGCTCGCGAGCCATAGGTTCCCGACCGCTGATCTACCCTGTCAATTGCTTTCATTCACGTCGTCTCGAAATTCTTCGTCGCACCTTTCAGGAATTGTACTGTCATTACTCTTTGGTTCTTTCGATAAAGTCAAGTAGCATGCTTTACCATCTGGTGATGGACGCTTGTGTTGCGCCCGAAACGTCGTGATTTATTTTATTTTCTACCTACGTGACTTTACCGAAAGAACCAAAGAGTATGGATTCCTGTAGTCACGAAAGCTTCAAATCAAGATTGTAACTGTCATTTATAAGAATGTTTTTTTTTAATAGACATTAATTCGATGCCCCAACCCCCCCACACCTCCAACCCCCTGCCCGCACCGTGACACCCCAAGCAGGGGACAGGTGGCTGTGCGCACAGCGGTTCCGAGGTCGTTGTCTCTGTGGAAGACGAGGGGAGGCGGGCTGAGATAAGGTTGGGGCAAAGGTTTACATTTATTTGAGCGTGGGATATTTGGCCGTTCAATGCATATGTGTTTGGACAAGAGTAGAACAATCAAAGGTCTACACAGGTACATTCAATCATCCATTTCCTGCACAGACGTCCTTTGTCAACTCCTGCTTAGCTTTGATCATGTGCTTCATATGAATATAGAGTACCTGGGGCATAAGATTGGGGTCACAGTTAGATCAGCAGTGTGGGTGGGTGTCTCTCCGGGGCCTTGCAAAGTCCGCATCCAGTGCTGGAATGCGCGTACATCTCATTCAAAAATGAATATTGAAGACACGAGCTACAGCAGTGCGATTGTGGCCATGCCACCATATGGACCATTTAGCAAACCCACTGTATTCTGTGCTCCTTCAATGGACGAGGAACAGCAAAACGACACGAACTCTCTCTCTCCCTTGAAGCCCTCTCGTCATATCCAGCGGACCTAGACATTGGCATCGAACTCTGAACGCATTGCTGCTGCTGCCATCGTGCGGGAACAAGTGAATAGTGGTGGAGTAAGTGCTGGTGGTAGTCGCCCCGACACTTGAGGAGTCACGATGTGTGGACGTACGGAGTGATGCCCATTCAAGGTGGCTGCTCTTACGTGGGATGGATTATTAAGAAGCTGTGAACGAGGTTGGTGGCGTTTTCTCCAATGTGAGTTTTCTTTCATGAACACGGAGTAATAATTCGCTGCTTGGCACAACCAGGCCAGGGTTCTGCTCGTGTTGAACCAGACACTGCTGAAGTGATGCACCACGAGAAGACCGTGCTGTGGCTGATGGAATGGGTAAAAAAAACACGTTTATGTTTTATTCTCGCGGGACAGTTGTGGGAAGAAGGCGTATCGCCTGCTTATTTATTCTGTTGATTTAAAGTACAATGCATTCTAATGTAAACTTTGATCAATAATTTCAATTTGTTTTTGGTGGCCACGAGTAATGTGGTGGCCACTCAAAATGTTAAGTCCGCATTTGAACCTCGTGTTACCGGTGTTGGTATCGCACTCTATTCCGACATCGTGTCAGCGAGGGTGAATGGCTACAGCTGAAGACAACAGTTCTCTCGTGCAATGAAAGACGGATGCCAAGATACCCGAAAATGCGGAACCCACGTGGCGACATTTCAGATGACTGCAGATGATAATAATAATAACAATCACATTGCTAAATTTAGGTCAAAACTACTGGAACAATACACGCGGCAAAAGCCACCAAGAAAAGTTTATGAATTACACAACGGGGCACACTCTTGGACGGATAAACACTCGGGGTCGTGACGTGGCCTCGCGTTCGCCTCTTGTAGCAGAGGTTCGCGGTTCGAATCCAGCAGCCTCCCTGATTAATACTGCTGTGGTGCCGTGCGCTAATCATAGCAATATTCACGCGCCGTTTGCTTCACAGTAGACATTAACGATCCATTGACGTCATTCGCAGGAGTAGGCCATTGTGTATCGGCATCAGGGTTCAAATTTGGCAAATTTTCAAATGACCCACAAATTATTTAATTGGGAGTTTTCACAAAGCAGCGAGCAGCACCCCCTTCCGGATAGTGCAGTGTCCCAAGCCACGCCTGCACGTGCGACTCGTCCTGGCCACTCAAGTCCTCACCTGGTTCAACAACGTCAACGTGACCCCATGGGAACCTCATTTGCCAGTAAAAATATGATAATTGGTTTTTTACCCTTCTATCTGGCAACAAAACTGACACCTTTTTACAAGGAGTCATGTTTGCATAGACCGCAATACCTGCAGTCATAATGCAAACAAAAACACAACTCTGATAATGTATGCACTGTCCTTGAAGTTGATTGGTCCACACCCAGGACAGATCTCCTTAGAGCCTAAGGACAGTGCACATACATTATCAGAGTTATGTTTTTTGTTTGCATTATGACTGCAGGTATTGTGGTCTATGCAAACATGACTCCTTGTAACAAGGTGT